GAAGGGCTTCGTGGTGTCCACCGAGTTTCTGTCAGGTAGTCGGCGATGTCACGTGGTCGTTCTCCTGGCTGCGGACGTGGTGCATCGACGGCGAAGCCACGCAGTCCCATCTGTCGGTACTGGCAACGGCGGTAAGTGTGCCCGGCCTCGCCGCAGTGGTAGCACAGTGGGCGGTGGTCAGGGGTGCGCCAAACGTCGGTTTTCCTCGGCGCACTGCGCTGGCCCGCTGGTGAACGGTAGGTCCTCGGTGGGGGTGGTGGCAGCGGTGGTGTCTGGCGACGGAAGTGCGACGGGGGCGGCGTTTTTGGCGTAGACGGGGAGGAGCGTTGTGGCGCACTGCAGCTGCGTAGCTCATAGTTTCTGGCTCGGGCAGCGGTGTATGGGGAATTCGAAGTGATTGCCGAACGTCTTCTCGCACAATGTCGGCGATCGAATCCACTTGAGGTTGCACCGAAGGCAACAGTTTGCGCAGCTCTTCCCGCACGATCGCTCGGATCGTTTCACGCAGGTTTTCGGAGTCACTGGTTTGAGCAGCAGCGCATTCAGGAGTCAGGCGACGATTATACTGTCTGGTGCGCATGTCAAGGGTTTTTTCGATGTTGGTCGCCTCGGATACAAATTCTTGGACGGTGTTCAGTGGATTCCTCATTAGTCCCGCGAAGAGCTCTTGTTTGACCCCTCGCATGAGGAAACGAACTTTCTTCTCCTCAGGCATGTCTGGGTCAGCGTGACGAAATAGGCGGGTCATCTCCTCTGCGAAAATTCCAACCTTCTCATTCGGTAGCTGAACCCGGGTCTCTAGTTGAGCAGCGGCCCTTCTTTGCGAGCGACGCTCGCGAACGTTTGCAGAAAATGCGCCGCAGAAGACATCCCACGTTCGGAGCGTGGACTCACGATTCTCTAGCCAGGTCCTTGCGGTGTCTTCCAGGTAGAAGTACACACGCCGGAGCTTTTCTTCGTTGTCCCAGTGGTTGAGGGCGGCCACACGGTCGTATGCTTCTAACCAGGACTCCGGGTCTTCGAACGATGACCCATGGAAAATTGGTGGTTCCCTGGGTTGATGCATGACCATCGTGGGCAGGGATGCGGCGGTTGTCATTGTCGCTGCTGTCGCGGTCATAGCCTTGGTCTTCCGCGCCTTGGTCTTCCGCGCCTTGTCTTCTAGAACCTACTCCCCTCGGCCTGCTTGTACGCTGCTCCTGGTTGGTGTCCGTGTCTTCTCCGCGACGTGGGCTGGGCTCACGGCTTGACGGAGGCGTGCGGTACATGAACGAAGCAGCACCTCCACCAGATGTCACGGGGTCGTGACGTGGCCGAAGACAGGAGACTTCGTGTTGGGATTAACTGTTTATTTGGGCGAACCTGTGCCCGGGTAAACGGAAAGTCCAATTACAGCAGCAGTCTCGCCACAGATAGCAGTCTCGGACTGATAGCGACGAACGGAGCGTCGGCCTTCGATCAACAACTGACAGCGGCGAAGCGCGTCGTCATTTCGGGAACCTCCCTTATCCTGTCATAAGGGCACCTTATCAAAGGCGTCCTTAACTCGTTAAGTATAGGCCCTGGGCGTGAGGGTAGGTGAATGTTTGCTACCAAATCATTATCTAAAGCAGTAATAAATTAGCCTTACTGCAAGAATCAATCAACAATAAGCACAGAAGCAGCCAAATGCAAACAGCAGAAGTGTTTGTTTAGGTGCCTGCAGTTTTCGGTGAAATACATATTTTTGGTCTGGCCACTTTGCTGCAACTCTAGTCGACACAGTTTTTTTTTTTTGTTATTTCAACGTCTTGTATGTTTACGTTGTATTCGGTTGTGTTATCGGGCTCACTGCAGCGTTTGCTGTTTTCTTTCATTTTTTTTAAATTTCACTTCATTTATTTCATAATTTGAGTAGCATAACAGCTTTTTTTTTACGAAGTTGCACGGATTGTGGAACGGTGCACTGAAGTGAACTTCACCGACAAAGTAGCTACGCCTTGACGGATTTTGTGAACAAGTACCAAGACGGATGCCGTGTGCCTTCAGAGAAAAGGAAAAACGTGGAAGCAGCTCACAATAGAATTCAACGAACCACACACTGTAATTATGTGAATGACCGACCAAACAACTAGAAAAGTATTTGCACCACTTCGAGAAGTTTTACCAGTACAGTAAGAAGTGTTTTCAACCATAGCAGGTATCCGCTCGACTGAATACTTGTGACATAGTCGGCTACGAGATGTTTACAAGGTCGTTACTTCCAAGTTGAAACGTGCCAACTCCATAAAAGCGTGATGTGATGAGCAGCTGCATGAGACATGGCACATTGAATTCACGACCATGGATATTTTTCTGCAGAAACAGCATAGCGAGCAGATTCTTCACGACACTTTTTGTAAAGCAGGGGCGGCACAAAATGCCCTGTTTGTTATAGGTCTCAACCAGGTCCCACCCATCGGTCAGGACTTGCCGTGTCAGTGACGTGTACGTCGTACGCTGTGTCGTTCAATAGTTTACTATTACAGTCCACATAATAAACAAAGATCGCTAAGTTGAATCGTCCCCACCCGATGGTTGTTTCAGAAAGCCTTAAGTAGGTCATAGGACTACCATTACACTGAACTTTACTTAGGTACGAGGAAAGTTCCGCGATAAGTACAAGGTAGTTCCTTGAAACGTGCACTAGTGCGGACTTATAGGCTAAGCTTGACTCAAGTCATAAGGATAAGGTTAGTTAGGCTTGTGATATGGAGATAAGGCTCTAGTTGTGGGCCTGCTTCCTTCAACAACTTTGTCTGCTTGGGGGCATCGGCAGTATTGGTGCGTGTGGTTATAAATTTTCATAGTAATGACATAGAAAATGAACGGCTTGGAAAATATTGCAGCATTGCTTCTGCTGCTTGATAGCAACATCTTCAAGTGGGAGAGCTTGATTTCTTAAAAGATGGAACTTCCACCAGCTGCCTTGTTCAAGTGGTGTTTGTTGTTTTTCAGTTGCGGATATGCAGGTACTGTTCTTTTCCAGTGTAGGAGTTCAGTGGCTGCTTTAATCTAGCTGCCATTACAATTAAACACTGGGAAAACAATGTTATTTTTATCGTCATTCTGCAACCTGAACTACCCTGGTATGCAAGGCACCCTTAGCATTGGCCCAGCCAAACGTTCGAACTAAGTAGAAAAATGACAGCATATCATATTTACTCACATAATGTGCGCACCCCTAATATTTAGTCAGCTTTACTAAAAAAGATATATTTAAAAAATGTTTTGCACTTCCTGACCCATCCTTCTGTGTGTTCTCGACACACGCATGAAGTGACTTAGGACCTTCAGATACTTTGGACGGGTGTGCCCCTCACCGAACAGGTTAGAGCAGTCATGTATACAACGGGCTGCAAGTGCGAAGTCTCTTCTTTCAAAGACTTCTCCCGAACGACGGTCCCAAGAATACCATACCCTAACAGTGTGGCTTACCGAAACACCCACACCTGTTGATGGGTTTTCAGAATTGCTCGAGTTTCTGCCTCCATATATTGCGCCATCTTTTCTGCCGTGAGAAGGCAAGAGCAGGCTTGCGACACGGCCCAAACTATTCTCTGCATCGATAAGATTTGATTTCTTTTTCTTTTTTTTTAAAGGGACACAAACTAAAATAACAATTTACGTTAGAGTGATTGATTAATTTGTGGGGTTTAACGTCCCAAAACCACCATTTGATTATGAGAGACGCCGTAGTGGAGGGCTCCGGAAATTTTGACCACCTGGGGTTCTTTAACGTTTACGTTTGAGTGAAAGCTCAAAGTATGGCAATACCTAAAACGACAATATTATCAATAGCAGTGCTCTACTTATAGAAAAATTAAGGTAAATTGACAAGAACACAAGCGTTTGAAAATTGATCCTGATGACATCAGACGGACCGCCAACAATTAATCACCAGTGATCGATCTAACTGCACTAAATAAAGAACTTTCTGTGCATCAAGAGACTCAATAAAAGGCTGCTTGCTCGTTTATGCTTGATTCGTGGAAAAGGGAACCGCCAGACGTTACTATTGCGAATAGCGCGAGTGGTTCAAAAATTCAATTTTCGCGTGGGTACACGAGACAGGTGGTGCCATCTAGCGGGACGCAGTTGAAACAAAAGCGTCTGCAATCGCGGAGCTAATGGAGCGAAACTGATCAACGGCCGTTGTTGCTGCTGTGGCTCCCACTGCTTTCGGTCTGCTGCTACTAGCGCAGTAAAGCCGGGCAATGTTGTGCACGGCAACAGTGACGTGAGGCGGACCGGTTGATGCACTTCTTGAGGCGGGTAGTTTAAAGGGCGCTAACCCGATGCGGACCACTAAAACGCGATTCTATTTCAAAATAGGCCCTTCCTCGGCACAAAAGTAACACTACGAGGTTTCTTGGCCACCATTTCAACAACCAACCTCGACTTAATAGTTGACTTTAGTGTCCGTTTAATGTCGAGAATAAAGATTCGCTCACACCTCCTTGAACTAAATTCTTAGCTCAGACTTGAAAAATAATAGTCTATTCTACCTTCCTTGGACTTGGGCAGGGTCATGCTGCAGGCTAAGTGATAATAATGATTGTTGGGGTTGAGGATCTCAAAGGTCAGGCTTATTGAGGCAGCTTGTACCCATTTTTTGGCCACAGCTAAATGTCAGTTCCAATGTTCTTAATGCATCGAATATACATCTGAATTATAGAATCATTTTGCATGGTCACCTCACATTCATAATCAGGGTTGTACTGTGTTTGCTTGTTGACCAAGGGCAGCAATTGATGCAGCCTGTACTTAATGCACTGCTAGTATAGACACTGATTACTGGCCGAGTTGCCTTTTTAGTCTAGTTGACAAGAATTATCTTTGTACTTTGTTCGGCACCAGCGTTTCATTTAACAATAAGTATTTAGCTGAAATTGTCAGATTGACATTTTTTTGACTGGCACTTACATTTACATGTTTATGCTGACAGTGGCCTTTTTTGCTTTATCCAGAACTAGATGGCTATTTGAAAAGTGCAGAAGCACTTGTCAAACAACTGACAAAATGCACATCTTGCCGAAGTCGCGGGGAAGAGGAGGAGGAGAAGCGCGGTGCGGCCAAAAAAATGGGCGCAATATACCGGCCTGCCGTGCTTAAACAAATTGTTTCAGCAACGCTGCCAACATCAGCAGACGCGCGTGGACCTCAACGGACCTGCGACCCACACCACGAGTCAACGGACCTGCGAGTCACCCCACACCTGCAGGCTGAAAAAGAGCAGGGGCCATGTTTGGCCTCGAGGACAAGCAGCTGTTCACCAGCCTGACCTGCTGAAGAATACAGGCCAGTTTATAGCTGCAGCCCTGCGGGCCCAAGCAGGGAACCTGGTTCTGGGATAGCCACGCAGTTGCTGTTCTGTTGGAGTGACCCTGATGTAAGTCTATTTATACACGGCTTTCATTGTGCACAGGTGTAGTTAAAGTGGAGAAAAAGGCTGCGCTGCAAAGTTAAGGACAAAAAACAGGACTAACACAGTGAAAGTGCATCGAACAACTGAAGGTAATTGAAAGAAATAGCCAAAAAAAAAGAGGATAGAGTAACATACAAGGGAGTGGCTACTGGAAGCAAACCACTCATGATCCTACTAATATGCTATCTATGTCATAATACACATGCTTTTATAAAACTCTTATTTTTGCTTATCTTATTTCTCATGATCTGTAAACATCGAAAGTGCTATCGAAGGTGTTCGCCAAACTTCCCTTGTACGTTACTCCACCCCCCTTTTTTTGGCTATTTGTTTCAATAAACTTCAGTTGTTAGATGCGTTTTCCCTGTGTCAATCCAGTTTTTCGTCGTCAACTTTGCAGCGCAGCCTATTCCTGCAGTATGTTCCAACTAGCCTCCACACAAGCTTTTCTAATGAAAGTGGAGACAGTCTCATTGACCTAATATGAAGGCCCTCGATGACAGTATTTGTAGCTGCTGATTGATAAAAGATAAAGCCCTGTGATAGCTCTGGTATGAATTAGGTGGATAAAATATATTTAAGAGGTAAGCATAGTTTTTTGGAAATTGACCTATCTTCTTATCATGCTTGTTAATGTAGGCCTTGTGTGCCGGAGTTTTCAAATGCCACTGTATAGCTCCAGAAAGCAGTCTATTCGCCGCGAGACCAAGCAGAGTCATCGCCTGGCGACAACTGGCCGAAACGGTAAAGTGTGGATTGCTCCTTGGGTTGTCTGCTAGCCACGTCGCGTTTCTATGTGCGCGTAAGGTCATGCACATTCTTAAAAGTGTAGTTTGTTTGGTCGTGTCAGCGCGAATGTAACTGTTTCTACGTATGCCTGAAATGACGTACAAAAGCATTTGATCCTGCTCGGCTGATTTGCATTGTAATAGGATCGGCGAGTGCAACTTTCCAGAGTGCTGTTTATTGTCGTCAGGCCCTCCACATTCAGCAGAATAATTTCAAAATGGGTGCCGCTTTCTGTGTCAAACATATCGCAAAATGCTCTTGGCATCCTCCCAAACATGAGGACTATTAAATGCTGTGTGAATGCAGCGTTCTATAGTGACTTGGACTGTAAAAAAAAACAAAAAAAAAACGCCACAGGCTCTAGGCCATGCGCTTACGCGCTGTTGGTAGGTGTACAACTACGGCACTGTAGTTTATCGATCATGCAAGGGGGCTTAGTTCTGTTTATCTGGCCCTATAGAAATACAGTCGAACCCCGCTACACGAAAATGACAGGACGCAGAAAAAATTTTCGTTGTAGTGAAATCGAAAAAAAAATCGCTGATCTTAGCTAGCTAAACAAAGAAACGTTTATTCTCAAAATTCAAAAGATGTCTGCTGCTTCCTATTCTTTCCCAGCAGCGTCACGTCGTGGTTCTCACCAATGCATAGCGAGACCAGGGTGAAAAGCACGCTGAAACAACGCCTACAACCGCTTTCATGAACGAGCCAAACACTTGCATTGACACGTTAACACCAGCTGCTGTCCGCCATCAAAAGTGTCCGACAACGTCGACATGGAGGCAGGGTATCGTGGAGCGGCGACTTTTGCATTATTCTATGCCATTCTTATCATCCATCACTCGCAACTAGCTGATTTTGTTGATAATGCGGAGGAACAGCCTCTGAATAGTTACCACACTGGCCAAGCGCGAAGATAATGATAAGCATAGGAATCGGAAAAGGCATCGCCCCGCGGTTGCACTCAGCAGCTGCGAGAAGGACACCATAAACTGAGCGACCTGAGCTTCAGCTTCGGACCGTCTGCGGCTCAAAAGCAAGCCAGTGGCAAAACAAAAGCAGGGCAGTCTCATTGCCATCATTATCAAGCAATGGTGGCGCCCATGCTTGCTGAACAGCAGCGGTTTCTGGTGGTGCCAACAAGTGTTTTATACTTTGTTGACGCATTTTAAGGCTCTGAAAAGGCATCAAATTGTTAAAGATTGGGTTTTATTAGATAGCATTAAGTATCTGAGGCGGGAATTTCATCGCAAAATTTTGTTGAAGTAGACGATCGAAAAAAAAAATGTTCGTTGTGGCGACAATATTTATGCATCGACTCCTATGGACTGCTGATGGGGAATCATAAATTTTTCGTTGTAGTGGAAATTTCGCTGAAGCGGTGTTTGTTGTAGCGGGGTTCGACTGTAGTACTATCGTATACACTGCGACACATTGGTACTTAAACTGTACTTGAAATACAGTTACTGTGCTCAACTGTGTGCTTAAATTTAAGACCGCTTCAAAAAGCCAAGACGTTGAAAATTAATTCAGATTGCATGGCCTATATATAATGTTGCATAATTTCGCTGGAAATTTCATCTTTTTACATTGTCTTTAGCGTTTATGTGGCATTGTTGGTGACCGACATAAGGCAGTGGTCATTTGTTGTCTGAAAAAAAAAAAAAAAACATGCTTGTCCTATTAACCAGGCCTTTGTTGTAGCACTGTCATGCACGTAATCCATCGATGAAAGCTAGGTTTTTATATTTTTACTGGTGCAAGAACATGTGCATACGCGTGGTAAATGCTGTGTAGCGCAAAGTGCTGTCAGCCACTAAGCTTTTCTGTTTAGACTTGTCGACTGTCTCACATTTCATGGCGAACAGAATGAGAGAAAAAAAATCAGGTGTGTAAGGTGCGAATGGTGGTATTGAAGTAATCGCACAGATAAGCGGGCTTTCTAAGATAATTCTTTCTTTCTCTCTTTTTGGTAGTATGCAGATGACAAAGATGTAGATGAGTACAGCAGTGCATAGTAGGTGAAACACAAGCTAACCACGTGCAAACAGCACAGCAAGGACATGATTTAGTGCGAAAGCGTGAAGAGTCGCCCAGGGCGAGCATGAAAGGCACAATGCGCTTTATTCTCGGGTAATGTTGAACGTTGCGTGTCATGCACCGATTCAGTAGAGAAGAGTGTAACATGAGTTACAATGTCTGAGGCTACGTAAATATAACTGCGTGTAATTTCAAGATTATCGAACGAGCACATTCCAAGCTAGCCTGGCAGAAAGACCTGTTGACATGTGTTCTTTGGCTCAGCAACGTACCACTAGCATTTTTTTTATGGCACTTCGTTTCTCAATTGGGCGATTTTGCGACAATAACTGGGGCAGTTTTATCACAACCACTTTTTTTTTGTGGAAGTCTATTTGTTTTGAATAATCGACCTACAATCGCTGAGGCCAGGTAACTACCTGAACACGTACATTCATTGTGATTCTTCTTTAAATGAATTTTTTAAGAGCGACAACCATTTTATTAAAAATGGGCACACTTTTGGCATATCGCCAATGGTGGCTCGCTGCGCTGAAAGGAACTTACGCTATCATGCCGTGCTTCGAGATGTATAAGACGTTTATTTTCACTTTCTCTTTGTGTTGCTTCTACGTCGGATTTCAAGCTCATTCGTCATAGCACCCGTTCGTTATCCTAGTGCAGTGATTAGACACAAGCTTGACGACACGAATCAACACACACATCAGTGTTTGTGCTTTCATCGTTTCATAAACTTTGTATTGCGACATTCTGAGCCGAACCAAATGATCTGCTAGCGATTGTAGAATTACATTAAACTTAAAGAGTGAAGGGAAATAAGCAAGAGTTATTTTAAACACTAATGCACACCTTAAGTGCCGTTGGACAATGGTGTACGTATTCGCTCGTCTCGATTCACATTTCACCCATTACTTCGACAGTTGTCTGTAAATTTATTGCTAGTGCTTACTGTATGTACAATGTCCATGCATGTTAAAGAGCTCCAGGTGGTCCAATTTTCCAGAACTAGACTTTCACTACGGTGTCATATTGGGGTTTCGGGGCGTAATCTCAAATATTAGTATTAATATTCTTTTCGTCATAAATGTGTGCACTATGGCAAGGACTGCACTGCGATTCATGCATGTCTCATTTTCGTTCCCCCTAGCGTTAGCAACATCAGTCGATCAACCAGTCAGAGCTATATAGCTTGCGTTCTGGCCAGTGGATGGCATCTACAAGTGTTCAACATGAGCAACAGTGCGACATGATGTATATATGCATTAAAGATTTAGTGATGCACTAGAAATTATTGTTCTTGAAGAAACCAGCTGGCTGCCATACAGGTGGAGCTACTGATTAGTATGTGCATATTTCCGTAACTAAAACAATTTACAAAAAATGGTGTCTCGATGCATGTGTTAGCAAGTCACCCTCCTAGAGTTTTTAAGTAAGGACCCCAATAGTTTGGATCCCAAAAGTGCGCTTTGCGTGCGTTGACTGTGGGCCTTGCAGGATCGTACAATATTGGCCTAAGGGCAAGCTATATATACAAGAATAATTAATAAAAGCTGACACTTGTCTGCTGCATGAGTTTGGCCTAATTTTCACTTTTTTATATGTGTCCACAGGTTGTGGAACTGCAGCCGGGGAGCTCAATCTTTGTTGAGGCACGGGCACTGCAAGCTGTGCTCAATTCAGCGAAAACATCAACTGCATTGGCCCGGGGCTCCTCCCTGCAGTTTTCAACAAGCATGCCCTCCTGACATGCTCAATGAAGGGCCAGAAGGCCAAAGGGGCACACAAACCAGTGGCCCAACGGCCTCCTCTTCACGCTGCTGCAATTGATGCAATTTTAGGTAAATATATGTTTCTGCTAGTGAATATCGATTATCCGAACTTGCTATGCACTTTAAGGTATAATTTATGCTTGATTGAAGTAATGGCATTTAAACTACATAACCAAGAATTTTTCGTTGTAGGGGGTTTGATCATATGCACATATTCAAAGTATAGTGCCAGAACCAATCATTAATTTGTTTTTATTCAGGCCTTGTATTCATTATTAGAGGCTATTGCAATAAATTTAATAGAGCTTATTGGCGGGGCTTATCTAATGAGTTTGTGTACACATCATGGTACATGTTAATCTGATTTTCTATTTACAGCGTACACGAAAAGCACAGCAATAGGGAAAGGGTGGGACTTCTCTGAAAAACTCCTGGTGCCCTCAATGGGCACGAAGCTGGCTGAGCTGAGAGCTGAAGAAAAAAAAAATGCAGTCCTCCAATAAAACTAGTCGTTTTTACAGCATTATGTGTTTGTGAGTTTTGTAAAAAGAGGAATGTGCCTGTGCATGCGTGGTGCTGCCATACGTGCATCGCCATGCAGCCCTCGTGATCAATGCACACATAAGCCATTCAACTTAGCTTTATTGTACGTGCTAATTATTAAATCCTGCCTGCGTGGCTAGTCCCCGCAGTGCTTGCCACGTGCTGTGGCTGCTGTGTAACACCTTACACTCACCTGATACTTTAGCAAATTAACCTGCTGTACAGGCAGATGTGTGTGTGTGTTTGTATATATATTTATATTATACAGCTGGCTCGATCATATATCTACAGCAATATGATTTGTGTGTGCAGTACGTCACACAATTTTACTGTTGTGTTCCCCAGCTTTCTAGAGCTTCAAATCTGGAGTGGATACTCTGGCCATACATCGACCTTTGTTATATACACCAAATAATAGACTAATTAAACTTGATCCTTCATCAATCTTCATATAAACCGTCGGCACTAAAGTTTATAAGGTGCATGAGCAAATAGATATATAGGCTGAATTCACTGGGAACCATTGGGGGCACCATCAATTATCAGGCAGTAATAATTATAGCTGTAGAATGATCCGTGAAACTGTTTAATTATGCCATCCACAACCTGAATTCATATATGCGTGGAAATCGTCCATATATGGCTATATATAGAAGTGTTTTATAAAGCCATATATAAGTATATAAGGCCATATATGGCTTTGTAAAACCTGATATACATTCTATCCATATATGGGGACATCAGGATGGGCATATCTGGCCATATATGGTGAGCATTCATATATGGCTTGATATGCCCAATTCCTGATGTGGCCATATATGACAATTTTTATATATTTTTTTAAACACTGCCAGCTCCAGTTCAGCGGCTGTTGAATTGAAATACGGCTTGTCCGCGAGACGCAATCACGACGTGTGTCTCAAACGACTTTTCAGGGTGCGACAGTAGCTGCACAACGTCTAGCGTTGAAATGAAACAAGGAAAGACTGTACGGTTTGCACCAAACTGCTGTGAAACACGATCAGAATCTTAGGTTGAGAGCAACACTGTTTACCATAAACAATCGCTTTCGTTGCTCGGCTGTCGCTTTCCATGCCGCGGCCACCTCCAGGTCCGCTTGCGGACGCCTCCGTGCCGCTTTGACTCTACGGACCCTCACCACCTCCGGCTAAACTTGTCAACACTGCCGCTTCTCGAGCCGGCAACTCCAGGTTGAACTGACGGCGAGCCCACGCTCGCCGTCAGACTCGCAGAGTGACAGTATACTGTCACTCTGTGAGTCTTTGCGTTCGTGTTGTGGAAGCGCACCGACCGACGACTGTCGCTTATCAAAGCGGAGAATGCGTCGAAGTGGTGCCATGAAGAAATATACTTGTTTCTCAATTGTGGTGCGAGCGCCAATGAATAGAGCGAGCGATGCTACCACTGCGCATCTAGCGTGGGCGCTTGTAGTACTAGCAGTAACGCCGCGGGGACAAGCCTCGTTCATGAGCTGCTTCGCATCGATAAAAAAAAATCACGCCGTATACTTGCATCCATCCGGCCAGAAAATCAGGAAGTCGTTCGAAACACGCCAGTGTTCCGCTTCAGGACCACTTAATAAAAAACCACATGGTCACTTTTTCATTGAGCAGCTGTTGCCGCTTACATCTTATGCATTAGGGTATCTACCAAAAAACCATTTTTCACTTTGACCATATACGTTGTCGTAAATCGCCCTTTCACCTGGCCCATTGCCTACAAGCAGCGTTATGGTGGTCAGCTCCTTAATTCAGGCATATACAGTGAAAAAAAAAAGCAAAACCGCCTGGTTCCTCAGGGCATCATGTTGGTAGGCTTGAAGGCGTAATTGCAATTCATTATGATGGTTGCTGCATTTCGACGGGGACGAATTGCAAAAACGAAATCGAGTGCGATTAGCTTATGGTAATGTTCCAGGAATCTTCATGCCCAAAATGAATCCAGAGCCCCCACTAAGGTATGCCTCGTAATTATATAGTAATTAATAAATCTGTAATTGGTAATATTACACCGGACAGTCGACTATGCAGCGCACAGTTAACACATCCACACGCGGCTACAAAACGGCCGACCACGGCGAAGGCACGCAAGCCTGCTCTTAGAGCATGTGCGGTTGCTAACGGTAAAAGCAAGGGCTTGCGCATAACGACAGTGTTTTATGGGTCTGTACAAAAATACTTATATACTGAATACAACACTCGCAAAATATTGCTTATATTAGGTGCTTACAAATATTCTTACATAAGGAACGACAACGTTGAAAAGATGATTGCACGCTTGTGGAAAGCATCCATGTCAGCAGTGGACAGTGATGGTTGTACTTCAAACGAGGGCGCTGTGGTAATGCGTGAACGGTCCAAGACGGTTTGCACACACCACAATAGCGAAGCCCATCTGATAAAAGTGAAGGACGATAATATGGGGCCATGTGACGGCATCCTGTAAGTCCGCAGCGCGTCTATGTTAGCCTCCTTCCCACAGCAATCCCTCCTGATAGCGTGCATTGTTCACCGTGGATGCCAACGTGGCTGACTCCAACTTAAGCTTTGGTACTTTCTGTTATGAACACGTGTCATGGTCGATCCTTCGCTGGTGACACTTGGCTTGTGCAATTCAGTTACTGCGCCTTTTATCCTGCAGTTTGGCGCTCACTCCGTGGCACATGTCAATGGGCGATAGCAGAGGCTCAGCGCATTGTCAGGACACTGCATGCATCATGCGAGCCTGCTCGCTGTGGTGACCCAGCGTTGTTCATCTCTGGGCTTATGACCCGCATGCTCAAGGTTAACTCTTCACATCTCCGCAACACTTGGTGCATCGTCGTTTGCTCGGCACCATCACTGTCGCTGCTCTCCATCACGCAACGCAGCAGTGGCGTGGTTCCCAGCGTAGGTGCCGTCTGTGACTTGTCCTTCACGTAGTTCACCGTTGCGAAGTGCTAAGACCACATAGCTAGGCTCGAGCTGGGGTTTGACGTAGATGCGCTCGAGTCAAACACGTTTAGGCCCTCCAGGACGAGCTGCTGAAACACGGGTGACGGCTGCTCTCAAATCTGCTGCTGTTGCTGAAGCTGTGGACCTGGAAGCACATCAATGCAGCATCTAGGATACTGCATAACACAGCGGTAACGACTTTCCCAGCGTAGGCACCGTCTGTGAGTTGTCCTTCACGTGCTCGCACATTGCAGAGTGCTCAGACCACGTAGGTCCGTTCAAGCTGTGGTTTGACGTGAATGCGCTCGAATCGGACACGTTCGTGCCCTCCGTGACGAGCTGCTGAAACACGGCTGATGGCTGATCTCGAATCTGCTGCTGTTGCTGCCACTGTGGACCTGGAAGCACATCAATGCAGCATCTCAGATACTGCTGAACTTGTCCGGTGCACGACAGCCGTGTACTGGGTTTCGGTGGAGACTCCGGTACGTAAAAACCCTTCTTGATCTCCTCCCGTTCATGCGACGTCATCTGCAGCATCTGCAGGTTCGTAAAGACTTGCAGGCTCGAACAGTGGGCCTGTACGCTGATATGTCGATATCGTCCAGCGTTGTCCAAGTTCAGGGTCGCAATCCACTCGCGCGAGCCAAACTCTTCTCCTCTTGGCTGTTGATGCGGAGTCGTAGGCATCGTCATCTGTTGTGCACTGCTTTCACGAGTTCTGTTCTCGTCGGAGTGCATATACCATGACGTTGGTGCAAGGCCCAGTGTGGGCACCGTCTGTGCGTTGTCCTTCACGTAGTCCTTCACAACCAAGAGCTCAGGCGACGAAGGTAGGCTGAAACTGCAGTTTGATACAGGTGAGCTTGAGTCAGACTCGTTCGCGCCCACCGTGACATGTTGCTGAAGCACGGGATGCGGCTGCCGTTGAGTTCGTTGCTGTCGCGGCAGATTTGGCTCTGGCAGCCCATCTATTAAGCGGGTACCCCACTGCTCCTCTTCTTCAGTGAGTTGGAACAGCGCAGTTGGTATCGGTGGTGTCTCCGTTGCGCTGAAATCGAGCAGAAGCTCCTCAAACTCGGGTGTCGTCAGTAGCGGCATGTTTGGGTCCGGAGAAGGGAGTGGGCTCGAAGTATGGGCCTGCTCTCTCATATTTTGGGATGGGCCAGCGTTGTCCAGGCCCAGAATCATGCTGCGCTGGCGTGAGCTCAACTCCCCGCGCCTCGACAGCGGCTCCTCCATCTGCTGTGCGGGGTGGTACATGGCTGTTCGGTGTCACCTGTTACCACTTGTACTCTGTCGTGTATTCACAGTCGGCTTGGCTCTTATTGCTACGCGGAGACGTCAATACAGCGAGTAAGGAAAGTAGCGCATTGGGCCGCCTTTTTATGCAGCGGACAATGGAGCAAGGGGATTGGAAGGAGGTGGCGCAGGAGAGGGTGTTGACGGGAGAGCGGAATGGTTAATAACAGAGATGAAGAATAAAGCACTAAACTATCAAAAACGCACATGTCGCACCTAAATGTTACCCACCAGCCCAAATATATGACTGGCACGCGGCGTACGCATCAGTCATCAAAATCTTTCGCTGTCACTTCTGATATCTCAATGAATGTGTATGTCACACATTGTTAAGAGTATCGAAATATTCAATAGGCGATGAGAAAACCTAATCACAAATAGCCAAAGACTATCACAGTACAAAAAGAAGGGACAAAAGGCGGGAAACTACAAGATAATCGAAGGTCCTTGGCTTCTTCCTTTTTTGTCCCGCTCTTTTCATCCTGCTCTAAATGTATCAGCAATTTCAATGAACGGTGACAAGTTCTAATCCCATTAGTCATCGTGTGCTTTTAAGACTAGTACAGTACAGAATAGGGAAGGAAAAAGCGGGGAAACTGCGCAAGATAAGCAAGGGAGCTCGTCCTTCTTGTCCCTAATCTTTCTTGTTTCGCGCGTGCAAAGTATATGCGTATACCAACTAACCCGCTACAGTTCATACTATCTCAAGTACCTTTCGGTGATGGATAAGACTAAGATATCTGAA